GTGCTCACCATGTTTCTGAAGTGGGCGCTCAGGGTGCCCGTGGCTTGGTGGTACTCCATGACACAGCAGTTGTTCAAGATCTCGCCACTGCACTCACTACAAAGGAGAGGGGTACCCCAGGTTCACACCAGGCCCCCGTGAGGACCAACATCCTGTCCGCAGCTTGGAGTGGCGTTTGACAGCGTTTGGCTCTTGCCGGGAGCCCCTCTCCCCACCCGCTAAGAGTATTCCTTGGTGTCACTCTGGGATATTGTCTTCTCCATCAGTCTGCCAGACCAAGGCAAGGTCTCTAAGCGGGAGGCTGGGTCTCTAGCATCAGGTTAGAAGTTTCTTGGGTCGGGGCAGATGTGCACTCCTGTTATCCCAGCAGCTCAGGAGGCTGAGGCAGGAGGATCGCAAGTTCAAAGCCAGCCTCAGCAACCTAGCAAGGCCCTAAGCAACTCAGCAAAACCCTGTCTCAAAAATAAAAAACTAAAAAGGGTCGAGGATGTGCCTTGGTGGGTTCAATCCCTAGAATCAAGTTTCTTGAGTACTGACATTGAGATTGAGGTGAGGCTTTCAGGACCTCTGGCAGCTTCTAGTGCAGTTACAATAAAAACCCTGACGACAGCCTACAAGGATCTCCATGATCAACCCCTGCCCTGTTCCCTGGTCTGAGTTCCCCTCCCTTCACTCAGGACAGGCAAATCACGCTGGCCTTGACTGCTGAACAAGGCAGGCTTGGTGCCTACCTCAGGACTTTTGCACTTGCTCTTGTCACTACCCCAAACACTCTTTTGAGTGCTCATTCAAGTCTTGGCACAACTGTCTCCACAGAAGACCTTCCTTGACTTGTCTAGTGCTGCTCAACACCCTGCCCTGCTCCCACATCTGAAAGCTATGATATCACTCTTTTAATTTTCTCCCACGCTTTTTGGTAATACCTTATTTTTAAAAAGTGTGCTCTTCTCTGATTCCGCAGCTAACCTGAGAGCTCCTTTACCACACGTTCCCTAGATCACAGACTGGGCACTCAGGAAACGGTTTAACTGGGCGATACAGGACGGGACCAGGTCTCCCATGCAACTCACTCTTTCATTCCCCACATAAGTTGTGGGTAGCCTTCCCTGCCCCCTGGGCCCCAACCTTGACCACATGTATTTTCTTTATCCTTTTCCTTCGGGACATAGTACAATTTCTGTGTCTGGAAAAGTCTTTCTTCTCTAGCTCGGGCACTAGCCACCGTTTTGTCCCACTGCTAACCTGAGACCACCATCTGCAACATGACCCCCTTCCAGGATGCCCTGTATGTGTCCCTGGTCACATACACTAGTGATCACTTCTCTGTGTCAGCAGCTTGCTCTGTTAGTCAATGGCTGAGGGACCTCATAAGGTCGGTCTAGAAACAGCTGTGTCCCTACTGCTCTGCACAGTGAACAGGTCATGTGGCAGCGCAATACTTGATGACCTACTAAGTTCCAGCAACCAGCAAGGCGGAGAATGTTCTCTGAGTGGGGCCTCCCTGAGTCTACTGTACTTGGGAGCAGAGTGAACCAAGGAGACGGGACCTGTGGGGACACGGGCACAGAGGAAGCAAACCTGTCGCCCCAGTCCATGGGACCTCCAAAACCCAGCATGGGGAATGCAGGCAGGAGGGACAGGCACACTCACTTGCGGGTGTTCTCATTCTTGAGCAGGGACTTGGCCTGCTGCTCGCTGATGATGGTCGCCTTCACCTGGGGGGGGTTCATGTGCACATTCAGCTTCCCGCCCACCAGCAGGCGCACGGTGGCCGCAAACTTGGTCTGCGTCTTCAGGACCTGAGGGGGCTGCTTCTCAATGATGAATGTGCTGCAGGGGACAAGAGTGACCAGACACACGATGAGAAGCAGGCGTGGGAGTGGGGGAAGAGTCTCTCTCTGATGAAAGGGACCTCCCACAGGTCTAGCAGGCGAAGGACAACACGAGGCTTCTGTTCCCAGAAAGGAGGGGAGGCCAAGCAGAGGCACCTCCCTCAGTGTCCACACCAGAAACTGGGCCAGGGCCGCCCCAAGCAGCCAGAGCAACTGGAGATGCAGTGGGAGAGGATGCGAGGCACAGCCTGTGGTCTGGATGGCACCTGCGGCCTCCCACATGCCAACCCCAAGGGAACTGCTCTGCCCTGGGCACGGTGGAGAAGCAGCAGTCACCTGGTGACCAGGGCAGAGATGATATCTGTGATGGTGGCGTTGACTTCGGCCAGCATCTCCTCCACTGGGCCAGGGATGGGCAGCTGTTGGCAGAGGTGCTCGGCTCTGCGGATCTGCTGCCGGTTCTGCCAGATGATCTCGGCCAACTTCTCACACCTGCGAGGAGTCCCAGGGCCCACATGGGAATGATGGCTTCTTCCCCACCCTGGGCCAGAGCCTGGGGGCTCCCAGCCTAGGGAGACCCCCTCCCCAACACAGCTGCACCTGCACAGCAAGGACCCACCCAGGATGGCACAGCAATTCCCCACCCCATGGTCCACGGGTACACAGGGCACTCCTGCCTTCCAGAAGTAGAGGATGCACGGGAGGCCACCCTGATTTGGGTCCAATCAGCCCAAGAGTCACTGCATACCAAAG